AAAATTGGGATGGTGTCAGCTATTTTTTTCTTGTTTCTTCCCCCTGACCCCTGTAGCATTTATCAGTTCTTTCACACTGTGAAAGGGTGGAAAGCACTCCATGTGATTCACTCCGGCTCTTTTGATCACAGCAAGTGACCTAAGAGCTGAGGCCTGAGCTCACCTTCCCTGCCTCTCTCTCTCCTGTCCCTTCTGCTCCCCTCCAACCAGATCCCCAGACGTGGGTTCCAAACATTGCCAGCTGACGACCAGAGACCCTTCCAGACCTCCCTGCCCCTCGTATTAAAGTCTCCTCCCAAAGTTTATGGTTCCAGAAGTTTACTTTGAGAGTCCTAAAAAAAATCATTTCTCTCTGCACCAGAGGGCAAGAAAGCAAGGCAACATTTCATGGAGGCTGTGAGCTCAGCAATTAGAATCTGACAGAGCTGCTTTGGGGGCCAGATATCCCTCCTACCAGTCATAGAACCTTGGACCAGTTACAAAACTTATCTCACCTCTCAAAGGGACTTGTGAGTGACAAGGGTATGATGGCTAGAAAATGCTTCGCCTGGTGCTGGGCACAGAGTAAGGGCTGATCAGCTATGGTGGGGGTGGCGGCCTCAGGGACTACTGCCACCTTTGGGGTCCCGGTGTGGTGGACAGTGAGGAGCCCCCCTGGGGCCATCACACTTCCACTCCTTAGAAGCCAGTGGACTTACAGCCACTCTTTGTGGGGGAACTTGCTAAGCCAAAACAGAAGGCTGCATCCCTAAGTAGATTTCTATATTAATTAAACCATGTCATCCAGGTTCTCCAACTGTTCCTGGTTTTATTACAAAGCCCAGACCCGTCTTCCCACAGCTGGGGTCCCTCAACCCTCTGCTTTCAATGCATTGTGTGGGGTTCAGGCTACTCGCCCTTCCAACAGCAAGTCCCAGGCATTAGAAGCCCAAAGTGGATAGAGCACACAGAAGGGTCCCAGGACACCATCCAGAATGGAAGGTTTTCAGAAGCCCGCCCCCTGTATTTATAAGATAATGTGGAACACACAGTGAAATGATCCCTGATTTGGTCACACAGAAACCTAGCCAGAGACAGCCTGTGCTGGCCGCCACCTCCCACACCCCCAGGGGTAACTCCCTGCAGCCATGGGACCTCTCTATGCCCTGCATCTGCCCTGCCCAGGGATCCTAGGTGATCTTCCCTCCTCCCTGGAGAAAGGCAGTGGCACGGTCCCCGGGAAAGGACAGCAGACATCGGCACCAAAGTCAGGAGAGGTAGGTGTGCCTCCTGCTGCCCTACCCCACACCTTTCCAGCTCTCCCAGTGTGAACAGATGAGCTCACAGCTGACCTCCACACCAAGAAGTGGGAGGGGCAAGTCGGCCTCCCAGGGAGGTGGCGGTGGGTGGCAATTGCCCACCAGAGGATGGAACACATCGGAACAGCTTTCCCTTGACCCTGAAGAAGATGAAGTCAGGGTTTGGATTCTGCCATGGGACCTGATAAGAAAAGTGATGATCGTCCTTCTAATAATTGTCTTCAAAAACTCTCTGAGTCTTGATTCCTAGAATTAAAAGGGGCTAAGCGGCTCTGTCTTTGGGGACCATCTTTTTCACTCCTCTCATTTTTCAGAAGAATCAACTTAGGCCCAAGTTCACGGAAAGAAAACAGGATTGGTCTGAAGACTCGGGGGAAGCTAAGGGGCAAATACCAGCTCTGATCCCTGACATCACGAGGGAAAGGGAGAAAGAAACCAAATGTTCTGATCTAATGTTAATTAACTCATTTCTCTTTTGCCCTTTCTTTATTGTTCCTAGAAGCAATTATGTGTCTCCTACCCTCTCTCCCAACTCTAGCCCCTGCATAAAACTGTCACAGATTAAATCAGATTCCTCACAGCCATTTCATTAGGGAGACTCTGGCTCTTGGTCTCCGGGGGCATTTTTACTCTGCTCAAATGAAAGCCTCTCGCAGATAAGTTAACTCCTTCCTGGAGAGCACAGGAAGCCAGCAAGCAGACCACTCAGGGCTGCCGAGACCTTTCTCTGAACAGCGCGGGATACGGTGGGCTGGCGCGTGCGTGCCGACCCGAGACCAGAGAGACGAGAGTGCGAGGAACAGGGCAGAGGGAGTGTGTCAGACCTTGCGCGTGTCACCACCCTGGGTATGTTTCTTTTCTTGGATGGGACTCAGTTCTCCCACCTGCAAAATGCAAACCTCGAGACTTTCTTTTTCCTGTTCCCAATTCCACAAATTCTCCCAAATCACACACGCGGGCTTGAGAAGAGTTACAAAGTTGTTGGGAGGGACTGAAGTCAGAATTCACTTGGATAGATAACAAAGTCTTCTTTCCCCGTGACTTTTCTGGAGCTGTGGCATGAAGGAAGGAAAGAGTGGGAGGTGAAGGCTGGAAGCTGCGGTCCAGAAGGGGCTCTGAAGGGGAAGGCGGAGCGGGAGGGCCGGGCCGGTGGGAGGTCTGCAAGCTGGGGGTCGACACCCAACATGTAGCCGGGGTTCAAGGTACAAGCCCTGGTGTTTAACTGACGCTCCGTGCAAGTGTCAGGCTGCAGGGAGCAGAACGGCACAGCTGGGGAGTCAAGTGACTGTGCGGTGCACTGTGGCATGGGGACACGTGGGAGAGGAAAGGGACGAGGACAGCAGGCATGTTTCAGAGTCAGCCCCAGACAGGATGCCTGTGAAGACCTCTCCCCAGCCTGTCCTGAGCGCTTTCTCCAGGCCTTGGTAATGACACTCAGGGAAGCTAAAGATCTGGGGTGACTGAGGGGCTCCAGAAAGCACGGGGAGCATAACGGGGGCGGCAGAGGTCTCTGCAGGACATCTCTGCACAGCACACAGGGGCACGGCTCTGTGGTGGGGGATAGCCAGCTCCTCAGAGTCAGAGGTGACTTTCTTTGCTCCTTCCCTGGACCTAAGGTGGGGCCTCAGAGGTGGCATGTCGTCCCAGTCCGGTGGGTGGGACCACAGGGGCCTGCCTTTCTCCAGGTGCTGGCTCAGGGCCCGGGACCGAGCTGCAGGCAATGAGGCTCCCAGCCCCTCCACTGGCATGGTTTTTGAGGACTTTTTAGGAGCACATTTTCTTGAGTGCCTACACCAGCCAAGGAGCTGGGGACAAGGGGCGATGTTGTTAAAACCTACCTGGCTTGCAGGAAGGGCCCTGCCAAGGTCAGAGGCATCCCTTCAGCTATATGGGGCCAAGGGAGAGGGAGGTAAGATGGGGAAACAAGGGGCTTCTATCCAGAGGGGTAACACCCTGGAACCATCTCTGTCGTTCTCAGTGGACAGGATAAGAAGATGGGGTTTTTAACCTTGGATGTGGGATCCGTTCCAGCCACACTTTTTGTGGTGCATTTTGGACTTACAGTTCATGCAAGCTTGTAATTATCTTAGGAAGAGCATGATTCTAAATGAACTCTTTATGTAAATATTTGAAATATATTAACTTTCTAGCAAAACGAAGTTTGGCTTTTCTCGTTTCCTGGTACAGGAAGGATCCCACCGCCCCGCCTCCTCCTTGATAAATTAGGAAGTGATACAGACCTCCCTCAGTCTCTGGAAGGCCTTACTGGGAGCACAGATCTTTCCAGAATCCGATTATGCAGTGCATAGAAGAAGGATTTAAGACCAGGGTGGGGGTTGGGCCAACTTCTGGACCCTTTTTTTTTTTTTTTTAATTTATCTATTTGAGAGAGAGAGAGAGATCACAAGTAGGCAGGGAGGCAGGCAGAGAGAGAGGGGGAAGCAGGCTCCCTGCTGAGCAGAGAGCCCGATGCCGGACTGGATCCCAGGACCCTGAGATCATGACCTGAGCTGAAGGCAGAGGCTTAAGCCACTGAGCCACCCAGGCGCCCCCTTCTGGGCCCTTTCAAGTTACTCAGTTCTCCACCCTAAACTGCAGACAAAGAAAGGGGGGGTGTAAATTTTCTGTTGGTGGGGACAAGGGCTGGTGGACCCTGCCCTTCCACGCTCCTCCTCACCCACCACCCAACAAAAAGGGCTCTATGGGTGGGGCCTTCTTCTCTGTGCTTCAAGGATCCCAGGAAGATACGTTTTCTGTAATTATCTAAGCTCCCTTCTAAAATGCTCACGAGGGCCCAGAATTCGAATGTTTATCATTACAGACAATCTGAAAATACACTATAAATTGCAATCATTAACAGGGATTTTAGGCCAGGCCATGCTCTCAGTGCTTCTTGTGCTTTAACTGTTAATTCTGCAGCCACGACCCCCTGCCACAGGCAGGCAGAGGTCAGTAACATGCCCAAGGTCACCACACTTGGACACGCAGACCAGTATGGAACAAATCGGAGGCTCAGCAGCAGCCGTCCAAATCCGTGCTGTGTGACCTTAGACGAGAGCTTACCCTCCTGGGGACTCAGTTGCCTTTACCGCGAAATGAGGTGAAGGAGATAGGGGCTAGACAATAATCAGAAATCCCAGCGGATGTGCAAATGGGGCGCGCCATAAGCACGCAGCATTGGTATGGAGTTTCCCTCCTTCACCGTGGGTCAGAGCATGTGAAGAAACGCTCGCAGGAGAAAGTCGAGGCAGAAAGTTCCCTCGGCTCAGCCCCCTCTGGCTGCCAAGCTGACATCTCCTTGGGGTTCAGGTGCTCCCAATTCCCCATGCATGGGGGTTGGGACGGGGTCCTGAGTGGGGTGGGGAGGGGCTGTGGCCCCTCTGAAACACCCCTCACCTTGCACATGAGGCGCCGCTGGCTGCTTTCCGCCAGCCGGGGTGCGGAGGAATGGAAACTTCTGCCACCAACAGCATTTGCTCGCAACTTCCCTCTCTGTGGTTTTCTCTGTCATTCCCTTGATAAAAGACCCAGGGCTGAGCAAATGTAACCAACATTCACGAATCTCAACCTCACATGAAAACACCCGCCCCTCGAGAAGTGAGCTGCTGAAAAATGATACACGATGCACTCTAAACTGGGTCATTCTTCACCCAGAGGGGTCGGCGCGTGGCTGACCTGCTGTGTGTATCCCCTGTGCCATAGGCTTCAAGCATCTTCGACAGCCCAGGGAGAGAGAGCGATGGGCAACAGCATGCGATCCACCCCAGCACCTCCAGAAAGGCCCGTGCCCAGCCCAGATGGTAAGTCTGGCTTCTTGGATCTTGGGTGTGATGCTTGATTCCACCGCTCGAGAGCCGTGGCCGAGACCCAGTGACCGGGTGCTGACAGCTGCTGAAACGGCTCGGGGTGCAGAGGCGCTCCTGGTACCACCCCCCTTGCCTGGCTTGTGGTGAACATTTCATGACTGCATGTTCAAAAAGACGGAGCAGCGGTGCCCTGAGCAGCTGCTGGCGTTGTGGGGTGGAACTCTGAGAACCTCTCTCTCCACCTTTATTTGGCAGGTGGGGAAACTGAGTCTCATGAAGGCAGTGTGATTGGCTATGGGAAGAGTCAGATTTCTAACCGGGGCCAGGCTGATTCTGAGCCCCTGGTTCTTGCTTACCATATCCCACCAGCCAGCCGCGATAGAATATGACGGTGGGTTTACTATTATCACATCTCTGCAGAAGCGTTTGCAGTGCCACTGGATGAAGCTAGACACTAGCTCGAGGAACTCTTCCTGAAAAGAAAGGAATCCTGGGTCCCACTGGTAGGATCATAGGGCCAGCTGTCCTAGGGGGAGGGCACAAGGCCACGGGTTAGGCGGTGATGAGAGAGGTCAGCTTCCCGTGGCGCTGCTAGGTGGAGGCAGACCCCTGAAGCCCAGGAGCCTTTCGGAGACTGTCCAAAGAGCCCTATGGGGACATTGGCAAGCAGAAGGCAAAGGCTGATAATAAAGCCCATTTTACTCTGAGTGGGGTGGCGGCGCGCTCTCTGTGGGTCCTTGAGAGACTTGGGAAAGGGATGATCAGGAGGTCAGGCAATCCATCTGTGTCCCCAGGGTGAGTCTCCTTGGGACATTCCCACCTCCTATCTGAGGTCACGGTGCTGGTGCTTGGCCCCCTCTGCTAATGCCCTGAGTCCCCCGCGCCCCTGCAGCCCCACACCCTGCACAGTTTCCACGCACAGACGTCCGCTGTCCTCCCTGCTGAGAGTGGACAGTGCTGGGCGCCCTGTCTCTACTTGCTCGTTCCTTCTCATTGCTTCCAGAACAGAGATGCCAAGTTACACAGGGTCTCCTGATCCCTCTGAGGCTCCCAGGTGAGCCTGCAGAGACCCTGCAGGCCAACCCTCCTCTCCAGTCCCCAGGCAGGGCCACTCGAGCCTTTATCTGTTCCAATGCCCCTCCTTAAGCCTAAGAGAAAAAGACAAAAGAACGCTCTCCCTCCAGGACACAGGTTGTAACCCCTTCCCCTTCTGGTCAGGGCTCCTTGTTGAAAGCACCCTGGACCCAAGCGTGCTCGGGAGGCACGTACGTACGCATGCACCCACCGACCCAGGCCATTTTGTACTGTGGTCTTCGCACCAGGGAGGTGGGGGGGGAGGGGCCATGCTTGAGCAAACCCCATGAAAACATGGGTCTCCAAGGGCTCGCTCATTTGCCTTTAGTTTTTGAATGCAAATTCTCTTGAAATAAGTTTCTCTTTTTCCACTGCGTGGGTGGTGGGAGGCAACCTCGAGAAAGGAGGTCGAGGGGTCTCCCCGGCCCTCCACCCCCTGGTGAAGAGAATTCCCCAGGTCGGACCCAGTATGCGGTCCAGGCAACCACATCAAGCACGAGCAGCAGCCTTTTCCATCCCCCACCCCTGAAAAGTTTCCCTTGTGATCAGTCCTAACTTGATTTCCTCTTTTTTTTTTTTTTTTCCTGCCAACCACTGGAAGGAAGGAGAGGAAAGTGGTTGCAGTGGATGCTGCATTAATTAGTCTCTAGCCAATCTCCACAGGGGTTTCGGGTTTTTCTGGAACAAGCACCTACTCAACTAACACTCACGCTTACTCAATAGGTCAGGCTCCAACACCCAGGAAGTAGTGCAGGGAGCTGAGAGCTCTTGGCCCCATACAAGTGGAGCTTCCTCTGACGTTAGGCTGAGTGGCGGAGAATTCAAGTCACCAAAAGCCCCAGGCCCTACCCAGGGATCAGCAGGAGGCCCGCCTGTACTGTAGACAGACACTTTTTCCGAGCTTTTAGGAGTGTATTGTCCCCCAGGCGGGGACGGTGAATGCCTTGGAATGCAGCTTTGTCCATCCTTTGGCTCCTAAATGAAGCTTTCTAGAACATTCCTGATTGCTCTAGTTCCTGGAGACTAATACCACAAAATCCACAGAAGTAGGAGGACTTGATAGGAATGGGGCAGTCTCAGAGACAAACGACCTTGCTGAGCTTCTAGTCTTGCCCCTAGAAGTCATTTGACCTGGGGCAGGTCACTTGGCCTCCCAGAAGAAGGGTAGGGCTCAGCTGTCAAATGGACAATTCCCTTCTCACAGCAATGATAGCACAAAGTTATTATTAAATGTGGGGGGAAATCACTTTTTTAAACTCCACTGGGAAGGTCACCCGATTGCACTAGGCTCTGTCTAAATGCCCATCCCCCCCAAAAAAAAGTTTTAAAGCAGTCGAATTAGAGGTTCCGTGACTTGCTTCCCAATCATCCCAAGTAACTCATTTTCTCTACAATTCTATCCTTATTTCAAACTCTTGCTCTGAGCAGACACAGACAGTACAGAATTGACTAGGACCTAGGGAACTCCCATGTAGCTGGGAAATGACATATTTCTACCTTAAAGACAATCTGAAGGTATAATTTCCCCCCCACCTTACCTTGTTCTTTTTTTTTTTTTTTTTTTCCCACTCCTCACCTTTTATCACCCTGTCCTAAAGCGAGATCTTTAGGTTGTAATGTGAACCCAGACACTGCTCAGACCCCCTCTGTGCAAGCATGGGGATCACGCTAAGCTGGGTATTTACATAGCATCTAGGGGGCTGCCCTTGGAAAGAAGAGATGGGAGGGGCTCTGAGGAGGAAGAAGGGGGCAGGGAGGTCTCGGGCCCAGCCTGCACTTCTCAGTGAATGATTCTCAGACCACCTGCATCAGAGCCTCTGAAAGTTGTCAAAAATGCAGATCGCTGGGCCCCACCCCAGGTCTACTCATCAGAATTCGATGAGGGTCGAGGGGAACAACCCGTGGAATTCCTTATAAGCCCCCTGGCTTAAGCCGAAAGGTCGCATCCTCAGACCCAGCTTTTAGTCTTAACACCCAGTGAGAAATGAGAGAAGTCACTTTGTCTCCGTAGCGCCCCTCTGGTCTCACTTGTACAAGGGGATGATGAGAGTGACTCTGCTTATAATGTGCCAGACAAATGCTCTACACACATCCACGCTCTGTCCTCCCAGCACCTGCAGGAAGTGATCGCTATCACAGACAGTCCAGGGCCCTGGGAGGGAATGTGCCTCAGGTCTCTGACTAGGTCCACCTTTCCCACCTGGGTCTTATTCATCCCACATCTGGCCCGTAAGACAGTTCTAGGCAGAACACGATCATTCATCTCTTTACACTGAACGTACAACTTCTGTAATGGAGACCATACAAAATACACCTCATCCCTCAAGCCATGATTTCACGGTGCCTAGAATGAAGCTAAAGATTTTTTTTTTTAAAGCAAATTAACATAAAGACACGGTTAAGTAAGTAAGTAGTAGTGCGGGTGGGTGTTCAGCAGCATGAAGGAGCAGGTGGCTGGGGTTAGAGGCTGTCCCTCTGCTGCTAGGTGACCGGGTTTTGAGACTGGGCCTTCGGCTTGCTACTGTGTGCTCCTGAGCTGGTCTCTCCACCTCACTGTGCCCTCTGAGAGCCTTGGGACCTATCCAGTCCCAATTTACCCCATCTCAGAGATGGGGCAGCCGGGTCGTGGGACAGGACAGAACTTGTGGACCGCTGTGTCTCACTTTTCCACCCACCATAGGGGATCCATGGGTACAACCTGTGGTTTGTGGGGATCAACAGAACTTGGTAGATCTCCTATCAGGCAGTCCGACCAGCCCTCTTTGTTTGGTTCATTGTGTGTATATATTTCCTATAAAAGACGCTCAAAGCAAGGCCTGCTTTGGCCCTCTGGAGGCCGTGGATTTGGGCATGATTCAAGGGAGTACAGAACCGGAAGCTGAAAGCACTGGGTTGTTTAGCTCCTTGCCAACCAACTGTGCTCAGCTACCACTGCCAACTTGGAAACCTCATCTGGAGTCAGCCTTTGTCCCAACCTGTCAAGGAGCAAGTGTTAACCAACCGGGGAGAGCCTGGTAATTACACGCCACGGAGAGCTCTGTGGCCTAGGGACATGACCGGGAGCTTAACAACCCTCATGCTCTCACTGCAGGTTACTGAAAACTCTCCCAGCCTTTGTTTCTCCATTTTTTAAATAAGATTGTACACTCCCTAGGGTGGTGTGGAGCACTGGGAGTCCTAAAAGGCTGGTTTGGCTCGAGTTATAAATGAATCTACTGAAAGGTCTTTAGCATTTAAAAAGAAATGGTAATAATTCTATGAGGAATAATAATGCTTAAAAAGGCCTGTTCTCCTTTGACCAAGTAATATCTGTGGCTAGTAAATTCTGCCAGGGTCTCCTTCCTTTTTTGGATTCATTTCCCAGTTTATACTTTTGGACAGTTTGTTCAATATGACGCATTTTCAGGTTGAGCCATCGGTAAATATTTGGTCTCCCAGATTCCATCTTCTGTTCCCCCCCCAAACAGAGTTTGTATTTAGAAGAACAGAATATTTTCAAATTTACACATCCAGACGTTTTTCAAAATTTAGAACACCGTTGGCTGAAATTGGACTTGAGCTATGAACCCTAATCCCACCCATCCCATAAATGGTATTAGCAAGCCTCCTACCCCCCATGGGGTGGGTTCTGTACACACGCGGCATCACGAATCCAACCCCAATTGTACAGGGTAGGTTTCAATATTTCTCGTTTTTATACATGAAGAAATCGAGCTCAGATTGGTTAAAAATAAATCTCTCCCCAAATCGCAGAACAATTAAGTGGTGAAGGTGGAATTGAAGCCAGGTCTGATTGATTCCAAAGCCCATTCTCTCTTCTGAAAATCCTCTCTGGATTTCTCGCCTGTGCACGGCACACTTCTTCACCTGCTTTGTTTCCTTATCTTAAATCCATGATAACCCCCTCCATGCCTCTTCCCAAGAACATCACTTATCTGATTAAATTCTCAGCTCTCCTCAGAACCCAGGGCTCCAGGAGGACCTGACAGTGTGCTTGAGCTCCATGAGTGAACCTGACTTTCCTGCTTTGGAAAGGAGCTCTACCATAGGGGCCTGGCGAGACCGGTGCAGGGGTGGGCCTGGAATCCCTTGCAAAGGACCACACCAAGGCCATCATTTTTAAGCAAAAGCCCCACCGTGAGGCTTTCTCAGTGACATGGAAGTGTTTTATAGCTATAAAAATATCACTATTTTGGAAATTCCACAGGAAGCTCCATGCTGTTATTGTGAAATTGAAACTCTCCAGCCCCTGAAGCCTCTTTCCACTATTGAAACAATTGTTTTGATAATGGGATCGTGTTTTTGTTTCTGTTTTTAAAGTAAGGAAAGGCAGTTGCTCTGTTTCTGAGTCTTCATGGTGAATAAGACATCAAAGCCCCAACCCCCGCAGAGATACCAGGTCTATTTCAAGGTTCTGTGATGGCTGCAGATAGCTGAGCCTCTCCTCCAGCCTTGTTTTTCACAAGGAGCTGGTTCTGTGAAGACCGCCCACCATGCTGCTACCGCAGATCAGGTTTCCTTCCCTTGAACTGCTTTAGGCAGCACAACAGGAGGAGCCCAGTAGCACAGAGATGTCTCCCTGGTTTCATTCCACAAATCTGCCCTGAGCATCTGAAATGGGAAAGCAGGTGCAGGAGGAGGGCTGGAGGACAACTCCTCATGGAGTTCACACTCATTCTCCCCACATCTTGCAAACTCCAGAATACAACCTGGGTAATCGCTTCAAAGGAAAAGCTGAGAGCCCCAGGTGGGGCATAAAGCAGGAGCACCGGGCAAACCTCCCAGAGGGATGGGAGGGATGAGAAAGGGGAGAGCAGGTGCTATCCTGGTAGAGGGAGCAGCCTGTCCGTGGGCTCTGAAGATGGGGCATCCTGGCAAATTGAAAACATGACATCTTGTCACACTGTTCCTGAGCAGAGGAGACCATATTAATAAGTGGCTCCTTCATATTTGGGGCCATTAGCCCAGATTTCCATCACAAAAGTGTCTTCCAACCCCTCGTTTTCCAGATTAATGTAGGCCCCAGAGGGGCAGGATGCAGCGCACTCAGAGTGCAAAGTCAAGCTCAGAATCGGGGCCACTTTACTGGGAAGCTGACCAAATCCTCTGTGTTAACCCCCCTCCCCCCCCCCCCTTCATGGGCATCACAGCTTCCTAGGGACTGTACCCGGTTTTGTATTTGCAATTTCTTTTTTGTTCTTTTTCTTAAAGAGGAGTTCCAAATTTGCATGAGCTTCATGCCTCACAAAATCTTGATACACCCTTTATCAGAACTCCGGACTGCTGGCTTCTAGCCCAATGGCAACTCTGCCTCCTACTGTTGGGCTGGGGTCTGGGCTACAGGAGGAAAGAACCTTTTTTTTTTTTTTTTTTCTTTTTAATCCAGCAACGCAGAATGGGAGGGAGGTGTCCCTGCACGCTCCAGGGAAGCACCACTGGGTCAATTGTTCCCTGGCCAGGCCTGACTCCTTTCAGTGACTGCAGCCAGCACAAATCACTTTTGGTTTCCATTTCATGCCTGACAATACTTGCTTTTATCTGCTTTATTGTCTGTGGCTCAGCTTCCCCAAATGAAGAATATCTCTGAATGTGCTGTTCCATGGTGACAAGTGGCTTCTGATTCATTCTGATGCATGTTACTACTAAAGCTGTCTTTGGGTTTCCTCTGTCTGGGCACTGGTGAGTCACAGAGTCCCAGATATAGGAGTTGTAAGGGGTGGGGTCTAGAAGTCCCAGCACGGGGATGTCTGGATCCCAGAAAGTGGCCAGTTTGGGCCAGCAAGCCTGCCATATCGAAGTGCTGGGATTTCTTCTGGTTTTCCTGGGGTGAAGAGGGCAGGTGATGACCCCTCCCATGATTATTTATGGATTCTCTAGAATGTGAGCTCCATTGGAGCATAGAGACTTGGCTTGCTTTGTTCACCATGTTTGGCCCAGTGTAGGTGCTCAGGGAACAACTGCTGAGTGAATGAATACATGGAAAAGTCACCCAGAATTCTGAGTTCAGATGCCCAGTCAGCAGATAGAGGGTAAACCCAATGTCATAGCAAATAGATACGGAATTGGCCCACTCATAAGGTATATTATTTCCCCAAAACTATACCCCAATATTACCCTGCATCTAATGTACCCAAATTCCAGCAAACTGCTAAGGCCAGATAAAACAGGATTTTGCTTAGTGCCAAAAAGTGAATTCACATGTGATCACTCCTTCTCTAGCTGACATAACCTGATCACATAAACCGGACAGCATGCTTTCTTTTTCCAAAACGTCACCAGAATTCCTTTCAATGTACATATGATGAAAAGTAGTTACTTTTTCTCCTACTTCCACCCCAAAGTCCCTATTGAATAGACCCACAGTGCAGGGCCTCATATTCTACAAGGAAGAAGTGCTTTGTGGAGTTTCAGAGTTACAGTCTTTGAGTCCTCATGCATTCTCAGAACTCATGTAGCCCGACCGTGATACCCCTATCCCAGTAGGTGACAGATGGGGACTCACAAGCCCCAGGGAGTATAATAATAAAAGATGCTTTTATGGCCCCTTATCATTCATAGGGCACTGCAGCATACTTTCATCTCATCTCCATATGGACCCTGCAGTGAGGTAGTGTTAGCCCCACTTTAAAGATGGGGAAGTTGAGACTACTAGACATTTGGGGACTTGCCCAAGATTACAGGGATCAGTAGAACAAAGGCAAACCTCGAAGCCAGATCTTGTGACTTCAGCTCAAGGACCTCAGGATCCCCACTTCTCAGCGGAGAATGTCAGGGCCAAGGCGGGCTTCAAATAGAAGGAGTTCACCAACCTTGGGGTTCCTTTGATCTCCCTGTGCCACCATCCTGAGCAGAGGAGGGTCTGCTATAAACTGCTGTTCTAAAGCAAGTCATGTGTCTCCAGCTAAGAAGTCCGCGGGAGGGACTGATCATGACCCTCCTCTCCCCGGGGTCAGTTGCCTTTCAGTTCCCTGTGAAAGAGAACATGCCTTGCATTTGTTTCCCCAGGACCGGACAGTGACTTCCTGGCTGTGCTGAGTGATTACCCATCTCCTGACATCAGCCCCCCCATATTCCGTCGAGGGGAGAAACTACGAGTGATTTCTGAGTAAGTCCCTTTCCAAATGTTTCACAGTCCTTTAAAAAGGGTGAACTTGAATTGAGTAGGAATCATTAGATTTTAGCTATAGTTGTCCAACTCCACTCGGACTCTGGTCCTATTGTCAGGTAAGAAATTTGGTCCATACAACAGATCCTTGGCTTAAATCTTAATACTACCAGTGGTCTAAAACCTTCAGTGGCTCCCCATTGCCTGGTGGGTTAAATTTAAATTCCTTAACTTGGCTTTTAAGACCCTTTATGGTCCAAATTCTGCTTCTCATGCTGGTCTCATCTTCGACCCATGCAGTGTTGATATTATAGACCAATGTGGTGGCAGCTCAGGCAGGAGGACCCAGGGGTTTGAGAAAGCTTTTGATGATAAACAAAGTATTGCCTTCCATCTGCCATCTCTCTATGACACAAAACGGGCTATAGAACAAACAAGGGGCTCTCAGCCCCTTTTATTTAGATTCTCATTGATGCAGAAAAACTATCTTGGTTATATTGCCAGGTGCAATTTTGCACAGTAAACATTTGGTTTTAAAAACTCTCCAATTCTGTCACATTCTCTGTGGATCCCCAAAAGATGGCCAGTGCCAGCTACATGGGAAGGGCTCCTGGTTATCCTGGAATGAGAACTATACTTAAAAACTGTAGTTTTGTATGGGGAAATGTGGCCAATGGTGGGTTTGAAAAAGAAACAGCCCTTTGTGCCCCGGGTTAAATCTGATTGTTCTGTTCATGGGTTCGGTTTGCCACTCACCCATCCACCCTCCCTATCTGTTCTTGTTCTTCCAGCGAAGGGGGCTGGTGGAAAGCCATTTCCCTTAGCACTGGCCGAGAGAGTTACATCCCTGGAATATGTGTGGCCAGAGTTTACCACGGGTGAGTACCCTTCTGAAATGGCACCTATGAAGTATGATACTGGCGCTACTGACACGTGAGCACACACAGAGGGATCCCAGCGGGGCACCATGGGAAGGAACTTTCAAGACAGTCACTCTTTTGCTCAGGCCATAAGGAAGGGTGTCACCTTGATGAACCCTTGCCCTATCTGAAACTTGGTTTCCCCATCAGTAAGATAAGAGAGCTGGACCTTCCCGTCCAACGCTGCATTCCTGGCATGCAGCAGTCAGCAGTCATCAACTGTGATTAAAGGGGCACATCTGCTAAAAGGGAGCCTGTCTTGGTTGCAATCTTGCCTCTGTCCCCTGCAGGCCGTGCGGCAGTGGTCAAGTTCCTCAACAGCTCTGCCTCAGCTTCCTTTCTTCATCTGTCAGACAGAGTTCACAATACAGAACGGCAGGGGCGATGATAGATAGTAAGACCAAAGTGCAGGGCTGTGAGGACGATGAGATGAGGTAACACACGAATAGTTCTTGGAACGATGCCTGGCATTAGAGTAAGCGCTCGGAACATCTTAGCCAGATTCTTATCAAATCCTATCCAGAACATAGAGAACACTGACTGCCCCAAACACTTAAGTACCCAACTTGACAAATGGAGAAGTCAGGCAGAAAAAGAGAAATTTGAAAGAACAAGGCATGGCAGAGGAGTAGACAAGCACACTGCCTTCCTCTGAGGGTGTGCGGACTGTGGGTGTTTTGGAGACCAGTACTCTGCACCGGAATACACATAGCTTGGCTCCTTGAGCTCCATGGTAGGAGCCCCCCATGAGGGGGTTTGCCAAGGCAGACCTCGGCATACAAGAAGGAAGAAAGAAAAGCATTATTTTTTTATTTGGAGGGTTCTAGAAATAACCTCTTTACACACTCACACCTGCTGACACAGAGATAACTGACTGCTCATTTTGCAGAACGTAACTCTCTGCATTTAATTGCAATGTCACGGATTGTGATTATGAATACCAAAAGCCAAGGATGATGAAGGGGAACAGAGGTGGTGGGACAAGAGCGGCTGTGACAGCCGTGGTCTGAAAGAGGTGTCGGTCCCATAACTCTTCCAAGTCAGCTGCGTGTCACTGACCAATGCATTCATTTAGCAAACACGCATCAACACTTTCATGTTGAAGGTGTGGGGCTGCGTGCTGGCCACGGCTTGGTGGTGGGGAGCCTGGAGGAGTGGATGTAATCACAGCCCACTGAAGTTTCCAGTCTAGTAGGTGTCTTTCAAATATCGACCGGGAAGAGAGGTGGTGCAGGAGAACAGCTATGGAATTCGAGGTCCAAGAAAAGTGCGCTGCAAGTCTAACTTTACCATTTGCTGACATGCTGTAACTTGAGAACATTACTTATTCACTCTGACCCTCAGTATCCTCATCAGTGAAAGGGAGACAAGACTACCTGTCTTGGGGGGTGTCTGTGAGGATCTAACTTCAATGCCCATAATATGCATGATACTCATAATTTGTATTCATGCATGGCTGTCTCTGTTGTTTTTCTTGAATTCGTGTTTATGAGTGGAATTCCCTAGAAGGATTGGGGAGAATGAAAATTTGTCACAGACACTAAGATAATTAATATGCAGATGTTGTGCAGAACTAAGAGGGTAGTTAAAATATTAGGCCGGATCACGATCTTAATAACAAAAGCGCTCTTGGAGGCCAGTAAATAAACGGTATCCTATTATAAATCTATGGTCTTATCACTGTCTCACAGCCACAGTGCCAAAAGGACTCGCTTACGTGCCTTGGGGGATGCGGAAGGATGCAATGAGACAAAGCGTTAGTATTTGTCACAGTGTGCACTAGTTCAGACCCATGGATTAGAAGCCAAGGTTCACCCCCTAAAATACGGAGACTGTTTAAAAGGAGGTATAATTGCTTCTGAGTACACCCCAGCCAAGTGCTAACAAAGCATTTTCTTCCACGCTGGGATCTGGCCGGGGGCTGCTTTGCAAAATGAGAAAGCGCCCATTTCCTTAGAACATAGATTCCTTTGTGCACGGAGCTGCTTTCAAAGGCGTATTCAAGAGTGTTGGCTGTCATATGGAAAGTGTACATTCTGTTGGAAAGCTGGACCACACTATTACAACTGCTTTTTTTTTCTTTTTTTTTTTATGGTTAAGTGAAAAAAAAAAAGGAAGAAACACATGTCAATGCATCGTGCAATGCAACTTTGTTTAAAGTATGTTGAACAAGAGAAGACAGGAGGGAAATATAATGAATGCAAAGCGGGGCTTGTTAGGTTGGTGGAATTATGCATCACCATGTCTTTCTTATGCCCATTTAGTCATTCACAAATACACACCAGGCTCGATACTGTGGACACAAAGACGAAACCCAAACAGACAGACATAGTCGCTGTCTTCATGGGGTGGTGAGGGAGCAGTGGGGTGGCTAGAATACAAGGCAGAGACCTTGAACAAAATGCCAAACAGGCACCTTATCGTGGTTTAGAATGCTTCTATGTCATATAATACAGAACGGGCACGGTCCGATTGGCATTTGAGAGCAAGATGAGAAAGATGTTCTTTGTGGCCTCATGCAGTAGGCACTCAGGAATTTTATCTGAAAGATTTAAAGAAGGAAGGAAAGAAGGAAGGAAACAAGGAAGAAAGGAAGGAAGGGAGGAAGGAAGGAAAGGCCAATTGCCCACTCCTTTTTAATCCCAACAGTTTTATACGAACTGGACCTTGTTCTGAATCTCAGCACCGCCTGCCTGGCTGGGGGAGGGTGTGCTCAGAATACTCATGCCTCCCTTCTCCTTCCCAGCTGGCTGTTTGAAGGGCTGGGCAGAGACAAGGCAGAGGAGCTGCTCCAGCTGCCAGACACGAAGATGGGCTCCTTCATGATCCGAGAGAGTGAGACGAAGAAAGGTGAGTGGCCTCCGACTCGCCTTTCCATGCCAGGGCTGAGGGGAGCAGGGAAGTTTGGGGCTGACTCATGACATGGCTCATTTTGCTTCCTCCCACACATGCAAACCCATCCGATCTGGTAAGATCCCTATAGCCCCCACACCCCCAGAGAGGCCAGCTTGGAAGCTAGAGGCCCAGAGCCAGGGAAAGTAATTCAGTGAAAACCAAAGATCCGGGCTCTGTGTCATGGTTCAGAGCAAGGGCTCTGAGTTCTAGTTTTGGCTGTTTGCACTACTGAGAAGACACCTGTCTCACTGAGCCCGGGCACCCTCTCCTAGAACATGGGACTGATGCTCGGAAGGGGCTTCACACAGTACCTGGGATGTCGTAAGCACTTGAACTCACAAGAGCAAGACAGCAGCTCGGGCTTTCCCAGGCTGACTAAGAGAAACATCACGTGAAAAAAAGAAGATATGTTCAGGTTCCTGGCTGCTTCTCGTAGCCTCGGTATCGAAGGAGAGAAAATGTATCTGAGACTGTTTCCCACACACCTACTGAGGGCCAGTGCATTGTGGAGCCGGAGCCCTTCACCAAAATGAGCAACAGCCTTACTGTGGAGAAGCAGGGACCATCTCTCTATGGTAAAGAAAATTCAAGAACAACTTTTCTCACAAAAGCTCAAAGGTGCTAGGGGGAAACCAGATCAAAGCAAAGGTCACATTTCCTGGGCACATCCTCCCAGAGGTGGGAGACCCAGACTCAGACAGAACTTCGAAGCTGGCATGGCCAAGAGAGGGAAGAACCCAGCTTGAGATGCCAGAGCTGATCTAAAATTAAAGCTGCTGTCAGATCTGTGGCCAAGCCTGGGGCTGGGGGTAGGGTGGGGCTGGGGTGGGGCTGGGGGTGGGATGGTGGGTGGCGGGCTCTGCTCCCTTGGGTATGCAAAGTTCTGATAATTTTCCACCTGCCACCTTTGAGCTGCTCACCAGACTTCCGGTTCCTGTCACTGTAACAGGAAGATGAATGACGGGCTTCAGAGGGCAGACTTGGGGCAAAGGTCGAATGCCGTCAGCACGAGGGTCAGATCCCGAGCTCCATGCCTTCAGCCGTAGTGCTCAGGGGCTCTGAGCCTCGTTTCTGCAGCTATAACATATCTGGGGATAGCACTGGGAAATAGCTTAGCCCCTGAGCAGCCCGTGGAGACTGAAGAGACTCAGTAAAAGCTAATGTCCTACTCCTCTCACCATCTGTTGAGCATTTTCACTCCTGGAACCCAAAGGACAGAGCAGAAGGGACCTAGGTCCGAGTCTCCCACTTTCCAATTAGGGAAATTGAGGCTAGGAGAGGGGAAGGCGCTTGTCCAAAGGTCTGCTCTTCCTACTCCACACTTCATCCCTACCTTTATGGCACTTAAGGAGAAACGGCATATTTGACATGTTTCTTGGGGATACCCAGAAAAAGTCTTAGCTGACACTTTCTCCACATTTCTGAGAAAACCAAGCATAAGGCATAACCAAGAGGGTGTAGGGACCAGGACGTGGTGGCTATCCAGACAAGGATGTGGGAGCACCCAGAACGGTAAGCTCACAGAGCAAAGACTAAGCAGGTGCACTTGAAAATCCGTGTGGCCAGTGGGTCAGGGCCACTAGAGGAGCACGCTCGTGGGGTCTCAGCAGAGGGAGTGTAGTCCCCGAAGGTGGGGTCCTAGTGGCTGCTCCTCCAAATGCGGGAGTGCACGTCTGGGTGTTCTTGTTGCATCCCAAGGCTGAGGAAGTCTCTCCACCTTGTGGGTTCTCCAGATGGCCGGCTGAGCCCTGCGGGACGCCTCTGACCCGTCCTCCGTCCCCCACAGGTTTTTATTCCCTCTCGGTGAGACACAGGCAGGTGAAGCATTACCGCATCTTCCGCCTGCCGAACAACTGGTATTACATCTCCCCGAGGCTCACCTTCCAGTGCCTGGAGGACCTGGTGAATCACTATTCCGGTAAGAAGCACCCCACGGGGGACGCCTGGGTGGCTCAGTTGGTTAAGCGGCTGCCTTCGGCTCAGGTCATGATCCCAGCGTCCTGGTATCGAGTCCCACATCAGGCTCCTGGCCCATCAGGGAGCCTGCTTCTCCCTCTGCCTCTGCCTGCCACTCTGTCTGCCTGTGCTCGCTCTCTCTCCCTCTCTCTCTCTGACAGATAAATAAATAAAATCTAAAAAAAAAAAAAAAAAGAAGAAGAAGAAGCACCCCACGGTGGCAGAGCAATGAAGCGTCTCTTGGCTAACTGTCCCGCAGGGCCTGTGTCTAGGATGGGCACAGGTCCCCAATACATGCCAGGTGGCTGACTTGGCTCTCACCCTGCTCCCTTCATCTGCTCTTTTCTTGTTAATGCAGACTATAGATTTCAAGCTATAGATTTCAAGGCTGCCTGCGAAGGCTGCGTAAGTAGGTAAAGCTCAGCTCATCTCCACCTCACTCTCTTTCTGCCTGCGCATGGGAAGAAATAGGATGGCTCACTATTTGCAACCACAAACAGTTGGCACTTCCTTAAGTGTGCCACATGTTTATGGACCCCTGAGACTTTGTTGTGAAATGCCACTCATGTCCTCTCCTGCCTGGCAAAGCAACAGGAAGCCACCTCCTTGATCTGCGTTAGGAGTCAGGATTGACTGCCTGGGTTCTCGGCTCCCATGCATGCCGGCTTTTCCCTAGAATGGGGTCTCTTTGCCTCATGACCCAGTGAGCTGTGTCCTAGTCTGGCTTTTCCAACAAGCTCTTAAGACCAGGGCTGCACTTTGTTTGTTTGGACATGTTTCCCCGGGCCCAGGAAGGAGGGCCCAGTGTTCTACGCTGGCCAGGATGGGGAGCACCCTCCAAGATGGCAGCAGTGGGGTGGGATCTGATGGAGGTGACAGGGAAGGATAGAGTCAGAAGAGGAGATCACAGTTAGACAGTGTCAGGCCTGAATGCCAGGTCAGGAGGTGACATCTTACCCCAGGTGAAAGGGAGACATAGTAAAAAGTTGGCTCTGGAACCTCGGCATTCACATCCCACATCTTCTGGGCAACCCTAGGCTTGTTGTTTGCCCTTGTGCCTTGGGGTGTGTGAAGAATCTGCTGGGTAGTGCCAGGAAAGTGCTGAAGGGAGGGCCAGACACATAAAAGTGGGCTCCTTCTCACATTGGCCTCTGTCCCCCCAACCAGGACTCCTCCTTCCTCCTCCCTTCTCCTGCTACTGGCAGGAGGAGGAAGGAAGTTGCTCCATGGTGTACGTGTCTTCCCACTCCTGGTTCTGGACCTCGGAGCCCTGGGTATCTTTGCTAACATTCTAAAGCGTGTGGGGTCTTGAAGGGTGTTTCAAAGTGAAAGGAGCCCACAGGCCCTGGGTTATCACACTGGGCCAGTGAAAAGAAAGGGAGGGCGTGGAGGAGGAATGACTTCTTGGGAGATATAGGCCCAAGCTCAAATCTGGGCTCTGTGAGACCTTGGGAAAAGTCTCCTATCTCTGAGAGCTGCAGTGCCCTGTTCGTGGAAGGTGGACGAGAACAACCCCTTGGCGTGGTTGCAATGACTGGATTGCTCACGTAACGTGTACCCTAACGTAATGTAATTACGGAATGGGGCAGATGCAAAGTAAGTGATAACCAAAGGTTACTTCTTTGATACCTGAAAACCTAGCAGCTTAGCTAAAAATGAAAGAGGAAGGGAGTCCTGGAGATAGTCAACTTTTACTGATTATGAGTAAAGGTTGGTTGTGGTACTTGGCTTTTAATAACAATCATCGGAGAGGTGGAGAGACCATAAGTTTTGCATAGACAATAGCAAACATGAAAAGGTTGCTGCCCCAGCAAACACTGTACAGACTGGGAGACCCATGAGGCTTCCAGGCTAAGAGGAGCCAAGTGGCTTGCCCCAGTGCAGGAGCAGTGTCTTCCAGAAATATGACCCTGGCCGCTGTGTCAGTGGCTTCCTGTGCCCCTAGGGACCCCCAAAGGAAACAACATTCCTCCAGATTCTACCCAGAACCACAGAATCAGAAAAATTGTGTGCTAAGGGCTTTGTACAGACATCTTAGTGTTCCAGGTGGCTTATATTTATTACCTGGTGCCTTGGGAAAATTCATGAACAGCCTGGAGCCTCAGTTTCTTCATCTCTAAAATGGGGACTTCAGTCTGCATGCCTCTTAGGAGACTGTTGTTAGGACCAAACACAAAACCGTGAGTGTAAAGGTCTTGCCCCTAAATTGTCCTGTGCATGGTGGTGACTGAGAAGACAGAGGGGATGGGACACAAGTCCCACAGATAGCCTGGATGTGGAGTGGTTGGGAAGCCAGGCGTATGAGAGGAATGAGCATTCCAGAAAATTCTACGAAGTGGAGAGACTGAAGGGAGTGTGTCCAGACCCCACAGGCAGATAGGACCTCTCTCTCCCCCATTTCAGAGGTAATGAGTCGTCTTTGAAACAAGTGTCTTGTTCTGAGTCAATGAAGCAGGTTTGGGTCACATTTCCATGACTTTCTGTCACTTGAACAAGTGACGGGAGCCCAGGGTTCCTCCTTCCCTGAGTGAGTGTAACAATACTGCTGCTCAGACCTGCCCGGGGCACGCTGAGTTGAAGCCTGGGGGACTAGCTCAGGTCCGGCTCTAAAAGTGTCAGTTCTTATACTCTGTGGGGATTCTGACTTAGTGTCAGGGTTAACCGCTCACAAACCCTGCCCACTGTCCCCTGTCCCAGGTCCCTTCAGTCTGTGTCTGGCTCCCTCTCCCTCACCTCCTAACCTGAAAGGTTGTTTCAATTTCCAGCCCATGACAGGGCATTATTTCAGACACACATTCAGTTAAGAACCCCCAACCTCAGGGCCCAATCCTACGTTTCTTGGGCCTGTGTGGGTGGATATTTGAGTTCACAGTGAAAGTCCGAACAAACACCAAGAAACAAGGCATTATTGGTTGCCGCCCTGCTAGCCTTGGTTTGCTTCTTCAGCCACAACGTCCTTTTGTTCCTTGGCAAGAGCACCCAGAGCTCCTAAATAACATGAGAGGCGGAGACAGCCAGAGGTAAACTCGCTCCCTAAAACCTGGTGATGGATCAGCTCCCGGCCAGGGGCTCTGTCCTGCTGTAGGTCAGCAATGTTTCATATCCTTGGCCACTTCCTGTCCCCTGCACCAGGATCTGCAGCCTAAATGAGGCCCCACAGGATTTCCTCGGCCTATAATAATGTCTGAGGGGCACCTAGGTGGCTCAATCAGTGGGGCGTCTGCCTTTGGCTTGGGTCATGATCCCCAAGTCCCAGGATCCACCCCTGCATTGGGCTCCCTGCTCAGCAGGGGGTCTGCTTCTCACTCAGACCCTCTTCCATCTTGTGCTCGCTTGTTCTCTCACTCTCTGTCTCTCAAATAAATAAAATCTTAAAAATAAATGAATGAATGAATGAATGAATGAATGAGCACAGCTAGATCAAGGCTTTCCCATAGCCACGGGGCGTGGAGGCTAGAGCCTGATGCTGGTGGAGAGATGAGCGACCCTTGGGGAAAGGGGAGGGGAGAGCAATGGATTATTTAATTTTCATTCTCTCTGTGCATGAGCATCCAGGCTAGAGAAGAAAGATAGATCTTCATTTTTAACTTTTTCCACTTTCTCTTGTTTGCCTTTATCTTTGTCTTCTTCTTCCTTCTTTTCTGGTGTCTTTTCTTCTCTTGCAGTGTTTTTACTTCTCCTCCCTCCCTCCCTCCCCCCTTCCTTAGTTCTTGCCCTCCTGCTCGCTTGCTCCCTCTTCCTTCCGGTCTTTCCCTCCACCTGTGTTCTCTCCTCCTGTCTTCCTGCACGTGCATCAGCCGCCAGTGCAGGAAGAAGGGCTGATCGGTGGACTTGGACCCTGCCTTGCACCTGGTGCACTTGAGGAAGCCAGGCAAGAGCGTGAACCCTAGAGGCAGACCCTCCTGCCGGCTGTTCTCACTTGCCTGTCCTCTCAGTGTACCGTCCAGGAAACTGAGGCTCGGAGAGGTTCAAGGGGATTCACTGTCAGGGGCACAGTTGAAATCCAAACCCCAGTATAGTTGATTCTGGATCCAATCTTAGCGCACTCCACCTGCCCCAAGCTAAGCACAGTGCGTATTCAGGGCACTTAACATGTCTTAAACAACTGGGTGCGTGACTTGCCACACTGCCATGCCTCTTTCCTGTCTCGGCCTCAGTTTCCCCTGTGAACAACCAGGGATCCCTACTGGATGGTCCTTCAGGCCCCATACCCCATGCTGGCTTGGGCATCCCAGGGTCACTGACCAGTTTTCTGCTTCCGTCCTTAGAGGTGGCTGACGGCCTGTGCTGTGTACTGACCACACCCTGCCTCACTCAGAGCACAGCCACCCCCGCAGCGAGGGTCCCTGACTCGCCCGTCACCTTGCGCCAGAAGACCTTCGACTGGAAGAGGGTGCCCAGGTGGGATGTCTGTGTGTGCGTGTGTGTGTGTGTGTGTGTGTCCTGCGTGGATGCACCCCCAAACCAGTGTGTGAGTCTGACAGCTGAAAACATAGCAGACTATAGCCTGGTCTGAGGAAAGCTCAGCAGGGCACGCTGCAACCCACAGAATCCCTCTGTCCCCTGGGAGACCCTAACCCAGCTTCAGGCCTCACTGTCATTGCATTTTAGAGGGTATCTGTAATCAGGAGCTAGTGAGTTATCTTCAACACTGAGATCAGAAAATTGCCTTGGGAGATGAAGAAAACTGCTCTTCCTTGTAAAGGTCATAAAGAAATATTCGTTCAGATTTGCAGTTAGAACTTAGAGCCATTCAAGGAAATGGTGATTCCGAGAGGTTAAGTGATTTCTCCAAGATCACTTGGCCACAATTGTAAGAAGCAGAATTAGAACAATAAGTGTGAGAAGTATTAACCTGGCTTTTTTTCTTCTCCTGTTTTCTGGTTGTCCCTCTCTTCTTTTCCCAACTGTCCCCATTCTTCCCACTCACAGACTGCAAGACGATGCCGAGGGAGCCAGGAACCCACTCGGTGTGGATGAGTCCCTTTTCAGCTATGGCCTTCGGGAAAGCATCGCTTCCTACCTGTCCCTGACCAGCGATGACAACACCTCCTTTGATCGAAAGAAGAAAAGCATGTCCTTGATATACAGCGGGAGCAAGAGGAAGAGCTCCTTCTTCTCGTCACCACCATATTTTGAAGACTAGCCTGAGAACAGACACCATCGTGTATACCCAAAATAACAAAGGTTGGAACTATCACCTGGGATCTGGTGGAAACGTGTGGTTTCCTGGTCCCTGGGGAACCACACATTTTCCAGAAGCCCATGGAGACTCAAACTCACATCTTCTCTGTCCACATCATGACAAAGGGAACCCCTCCCCGGTGTCTGATCAGTACCAAGACATCAGGAAACGTTGAATCACGACGTGATCAGGCAACGTTTCCAAAGAGCCCCGCGTATGTGTGTGTGCTCATTGTTTTTGTGGGAAAGATAAAGACATTATCTCACAAGAAAGGGCACAAGACCGTTCAACGAACCGTCCAGATGGTCACACTCTGGGCTCATCAGAGATAACTTCTGAACAAGAAAAGCCTGAGAAGAAGATGAGCTGAACGCTGTGTCCTGGCCAGGCCAGATTTGCAAACGCGTCCCCCACAATGAACTTTTCTAACCAATCCATAGAGACCTTTGTTATGCAGCTCCTTTCTTTTTAAGGGAACTCAGTGACACTAAGCGTTAATCTTCCTTACCATCCCTGAATCAGGAGAACCCGGTGGCCTGCTGGTGCCAGAGCCACATGCACAACAATCAGACAGCCTCCCTGCTCCGCAGAGGGCAAGGCAAAGGGGAGAGAGGGAGGCTGCTTATGGGAAATTGTGAGGGTAACACTGGAGCAGTGCAAGCTTTCCTGGTGTCCCCAGCCGTAGCTTCGTGGTGCAGAAAGAACTTCTCTGATATGCTGAGACTCTTACCAATAATGATGCATCAGTGGTTCACTCATGATTGCCTGAAGAGCTAAGTGTGTTAAGTCCCACGTCAGGTTGAAAGAAAGAAAGAAAGATCAGCAGAGGACTCATGGTATAGACAGGGAGAAGTCTACAGACAAATATCGTGAAAGTGGGTTGTAGAAGGAGACATCAGCTCATGGCTCCAAGGGGACTGGGTCAGGCAAGTGTGGCCCGTGAGCTCCCATCTCAGCTGCACCTTCACAGAGGCTGAGTGCAGCTGGATTGAGTAGGAGAGGATGGTTGGCTTCTTTGAAAACTGCAAATTGATTAAATTCTAGAGGATTAATTTATTTTTCTGCATCATCAGTACTTTATTCTAAGACGGGCCTGGCAGCCACATGAAGAAAACGGCTGAGCTCCAGGAAGGAAGGGAGGCAGAGTGGCTTTAATTCTGGCCTACTAATTTTAAGAGATGAAAGAGAAAGCACAGCAAAGTTCTAGAAAAGGAAAAGTATTTATCTTGAGGCCGCCCATCCGGATCTTGTTAAAAAGGGGGCTGCCAAGGCACCCAAGACTCATTTTCCACTGTTGCAGAGGGATTCAGGGGGGAGGTGTGCCTGTCGACCCCCTCGCTGCCTGATAGGAGATGTTTGCTCAGCACACACATTCCGGAGATCTGAGATCACCGTGCTGGTGGTATGTGTATATGCATTTACGTGATTCTTTGTATTATCAGACTCTGGTGTGTTTATACAAGAAGATATTCATGGTTTCCCCCGGGAATCCCTAAAGGCCGTTGCAAGGGGCCAGCCAATGTGTGGGAAATGAATATAACACTGTGGACACTGACTTCCACCACAAGGCAGGACGACCTTGCAAAAGCCAGATGTTTGTATGGTGTCTTATGCATTGTTTTCTGTTGTAACTAGTGTGCTGGGAACTTTGGGGGAGCACTCAGAGGCATTTCTAAGTGGGAAGCATTACACTTTGCTAAATCATGTATTTATTTCTGATTAAAATAATACCTAATAAATATTTAACCTTTGGCATGTGGGGAGAGCTTTCTGGGAAAGATGGGTGAGAGGCTCACTCGGGAGCATCTTTGTGTTTCGAATTTTCAAACAAACTTGCCCCTGGAGAGAGAAGAGAACAAGGAACACTAAGAAGAATCATGCCAGTTAGCAGCTCAGCTCTTCCTTGAAGTTTTCTTCCTTAGGAAAACTGAATTTGTGAATTCAGAGTATGTCTAATCAAACTTGAAGCTGGGCACATGGGATTGGGGAGAGAACAACTTCTTAGCGATTGCTATGAACATTCTACCTCACCCAGATAACTTCTGTGGACCACGTGTGATAGTTTTGCTTTCTGTTTTTCCAAGAATTGATTTCTACACATATATTTTTGGACACCTACTAAATGCCAGACATGGCTCCAGGTGCTGGGGCTGTATCAGTGAAAATTAGGTGAGATCTCCGATATCACAGAGCTTGAGATTATAAATAAATAAGAAACTCTGTCACGGCAGGGAAGGTAGTGCAGAAAGTAACCCGGGCTACTGGACCCAAGTGTGACTGGGCGAGAAGTCGTTTAGCCAGATGTCTGTTTAGGGAAGGCCTCCCTGCCAGTGCATGCATTTCAGCTCCCATTTGGGCTGAGACCTAAAAGGTGAGCAGCAAACAGCCAGGCAAATATCTAGAAGAAAACCAGAGGCAGTAGGGTTAACTGAGGCAATTCCTGTGGACAGGAGCAAGGCTGCCTGTGGGAGGAGCCGGAAGGGGCCCAGGGTGCCTGGGCTGAGTGAGCTGGAGGGAGGGGCAGGGGCTGTCAGGAGGGAGGCGGTTCCAGCAGGGTTCTGGATGGGAATGTCAGGAGGTTAAGGTGTATTCTAGGAGAAAGGCAAAGCCAGTGGAAGGATCTAATTAAGGGAAGGATATCATTTCATCCATGTGTTTTAAAGAGCAGACTGGTTGCTATGAAGAGGAGAGATTTTAAAAATTCTGGTGTTGTATTATCTACTTGACACATAGTGAAAATTTGCAAGCTTTAAGACAAAAGAATGCAGGATTTCAAAATAAAGCGTTGGAACACTTTTTTGTGCAAAACTGAACGAAGGGCAAGTGTTGAATTTTGAGGCAAATGGAATTGATGGCAAAAATAAAATTGTCTAAGGGGCAAAAGAGATATTACAAAAGGAATGAGACATTAAGAAGATATAATGACTGAGCCTCTGTTAATCTAACAATAGAGTTTCAAAATATATCAAGCAACTATTGTAGGAACAAATAGATAAATGGGTCATTTTATTTGGAGATTTAAACACATGACTCTCAGAAACGGAGAGATCGGGGGGCGCCTGGGTGGCTCAGTGGGTTAAGCCTCTGCCTTCGGCTCAGGTCATGATCTCAGGGTCCTGGAATCAAGCCCCGCATCGGGCTCTCTGCTCAGCAGGGAGCCTGCTTCTCCCTCTCTCTCTCTGCCTGCCTCTCTGCCTACTTGTGATCTCTCTCTGTCAAATAAATAAATAAAATCTTTAAAAAAAAAAGAAAAAAAGGAAATGGAGAGATCGAGCAAAAATAAGTAGATAGGTAGAGAGAAGATGTCAATAACGCTGTACAACTTTTCTGCCAACCAATGAAGGATATATTAGGTCACAGGGGAAATCCTAATAAATTTCTGAGTCAACCTTCTCCAACACAAGCTCCATAATAATCATGAAATAAAATTAGAAATCAGTTTGCAAAAGAATGGGTTAAAATCCTACGTATCTAAAAGCTTTTAAAAGAAAAAAAAAAGACATATCTCCTATGATTAAGAAGAACATAACACAAGCAATAATCAAAGACACAGAAATATAGGACATGTCGCTACTTCCCCCAATGTCCAGGGCAGAGCTGATACAATAGTAAGAGGGACATTTATTGCTCAAAACCCATTGACCAGAAAACAAAAAATGACAAGTGATAGCTCAGATTTCAACTCAAGAAGCTCATAGAACAGGTGATTGTCTAAGCAGCAAGGAGAGAGCAAAAGATGACAAAGGTAAACACAGATGAAAGAAGAGCTTTGAAAGTAAAGTCATAAAGAAGATTCAGAAAGCAAGAACTTGTGGAATAGTAAGATTGATATGACGAAGAAAAACAAGAGCAAGAAGGATCAAGTCCAAGGAAAAGAAAGGCCAATGAGCTGCAGGGATGCAAATGAGGGGAACCTCTGCCTCCCTCAGTCAGCAGGGCTGGCCCCTCTCCCTCCCTTCCCTCCCTGCTGTCTGAGCTGTCCAGCCTCAGCCCTGCGGATGGGAACAAGGCCCTCAGACGGCAGAGAAACACCTAGAAAGAGCCCATGCCCCCAGAGATCATGAGACACTTTGGGAAATATGATGATAATAATGAAAAAAAAAAAAAAGAAAAAGAGAGAGATAAAAAGAAACATTTATTACTGAAGTTCCTTCAGTGTTGGATCTCTTTGTGAGAACAGCTGAGCATTTTTGTCCAAAGGAGATAGAAATCAGCCTGCCAACATGTACAGATAATGAAATAGCATCAGAAAAGCCCATGGAGACAACAGACCGAGTACTGGGAGTAGTAAGAAGCCTCAGAAAATCTGGAGCTAAGTTTATTCCCCTATGCCCGTCCTGACCAGCTGGAAAGTTCAATAAAAAATAGGACATCATTCATAATGCCAACCGAACTAGGACACAGGTAGGGACTTGCCTACAGTGATGTTGCAAAATTTGTGGGGAGAGAAGTTCAAAACTCTATAAAAAGACCAAAGGAGACAAAAATCCTGCTCGTGGTTATGGCATCAACTGGATCCACGGGTATGAAACTTCACATCATAAAAACACAGATATTTTTTGAAATTCATGAAAAAATTCCACAAAGATAACACTCAAATTCCCATCAGGACTATTTAAAGGCAATCAATATATGTATCTTAAAATCTAGATGAGAGCATTAGAGCCCATGAATAGCTCAGTTGATTCTGATTGAGAGAAATGGAGAAGAAAGTGCTCGCGCTATGAAGTTTGTGTGAAAACAGGAGAAAAGAGTTCTTGGGCCCCTCCACTAGTTTGATGGAACTCAGCACAGATGTTGGTGCCATCTTCCACACAGAGCCCTGCTAAGCATTAAGGAAATTCTAAGATGAAAAGCTCACAGGCCCTGTCAAGCTTTCAGTCACAACAGAATTGGAATAAGATGTGCTAGAAAAACAGCCAGCATGGAAGACAAGGCAGGATTCCTAAAAATTGCTAAATAGAAGTTTTTCTACCGAAATGAGAATCATTCTGTTTGAAGAGATGGAGAGAGGCTTAGAGGGTGCCATTTCAGCCAAGCCCTGAAGAAGTGAGTGGCTTTCCAAGTGGAGAAGCTCGCATGCCGACCACAGCAGGGCAATGGAAAGATGTGGAAGAAGGCATGGCATTTTCTAGGCATGTTGGTACTAGGGAGCCTGGAGAGCAGGGTTCCTGCAGGAATGGAGCAAGAGAGGAGACAGGAAAATGTAGCTTGAGGCCAATCAATGAGGCCTGGCGCTCCCTCCGAGGAATGCAGAATTGAGGCAATGCTGTAGGAAGGCAATGGAAGCCTCTTCTGGATCCTACAAAACATACTGCAGGGGACACGACCTCCTGTGTCTTCTCTTAAAACTGTGCAGGGCATCAGAGTCACAGAGTGTAGGTTTGCGATAGGTCGCCGCCTCCTTCTTCTTCAACCCAGGCCCTGGGAGCAGGTACAAACTCCCCTGACCTGTTTTGCTTTGGAGCTACCCTCGAGTGGCAAGACAAGGGGGAACCTGGATTTCTCGAGTTCCTACAGGTGCCGGACACTCCACAATCCTTACATGAAGACCACTTCTTGAGCCGTTAGGAGACGGAATTAATCATACTGATTTTATCCATGAAGAATTCAAGAGTGAAGGGCTTTGCCCAAGGCTGGGATCTTAAGGCAGGCTTGCCTAATCATGGACCTGAGCTCTTTCCCTTAGGCATTAAGGCCCTGGAAGAGTCTTCAGCTTCTCTGCGGAAGCAGCTTCATAGGGTGGGGAAAACACAGGATATGGCTTTAGGTTCTAGCCCCTAATGTGGCTCCTTCTTTGCTGTGTTCTTTAGCAAGTCACTAGACCTCCCTAAGCCTCAGACTTCCTATCTTCAGATTGCAAATAATAGAAAGACCCCGTGCCAACCAATGTGAGCAATCCACAAGATAATATATTGGAAGAGCCTTGTGGCCCCAAATCATCTAAATAAAATCATTAATTATCACAGGAGCCTGTTGTGCCTGGTGTCTCGTAACAGCTCTGGCCTCAAGATTTGCAGAAAGACTTAAGATCTTATCCAAGAATATATCACCAACTCACATCCATTCCCCCAAACATCTGTTGGTAAAGAACATGTTTAAGAACTGCTAATGTATTGAAGTATTTTCGTTCTCTTGATTCCAAATACCAAATAATTTCACATGCATCCCAAAGACTGCTGGGAGCAGTTGTAAAAGCTGTTTCTAAATGACTAAAACAGATGGAGAGTTTATTTTTAAATACACTACCATTTGCTGAAACAGATTAGTTTCTGAAATTCCCCAAACACTTCAAGTCTCCAGAATTTTCAAAAAGAGAATTCTGCCTTCTGGGCTGACTGGAAGGCATTTTTGGTGTCTTCCAGGTCCCACTGAGTATCTAGTCTCAGAGAGGCCTCTGGGAAAACCCCTGCAGGAGCATTCAAAGTAAGAAAGTTCTGTTTTCAATACCAGGAATTGAAAGATGTTTGGCCTCAGACCTCCTGCCACGAAGATGGGCCCACTAAGAGGGAGAGATTGAAGAAAATCTGAATCAAAGGACAAGAAACACAAGGCAATGGTGGTAGGGAGGGAAGTGGACCAGCCTGGGGGGCCCTGGGCATTGTCCCCCATTCCTCTGCTCATTCACTGCCTGGACATTAACTATGGAGCATCCACTCTAGGACAGCTGTGTTGAGTGCTTAGGGTCCTGTGCGAGAACAAGACACAGCTGTTCCTTGTTCTCTGGGGGCTCACAGTCTTGTGCGG